GCCATCATCAATTCAAGAGTATTTTTGGGTTATCATAATGAAGATGTTAATAAATATTCAAAAGTATAAATAATTGAGTATTGAGCGTGTAGATAATAATTGAGCATGATAGGTTTTTACAAAGGATCAAAGAATTTCCAAGCAGATTGACGGTGGAAGTGTTGTTCGGGTAATCGATGTGAATAGACGTAGGATCGTTGCTGAGGGTTGCGATCGCTCTGCTCAGGTGTGTGGTAGATGGGTCTGTGGGTTCGATGTGCTCGAGGCGGTGCCGCTTCGTATTGCTGACTGTAGAAGGTGTCTGGCGAGAGCAGAGTCAACACGAAGACACGCTTATTGAAGAATATTGGATCCATTGCGTGCGATACCTGAATTTGTACTCATCAACATACTTGACATAATGATAGCGGTAATAAACCTTGATAACGTTGCCCTCATAGTCGATTGCTTCGGCAGTTTTTCGACGCATATCAGCACTGCCGTAATGTCCCTCCTCATAACCCCAACTCGAGATCATGGCCGCCTGTTTGAAACGATATTCAACTGCTCGATGGATATCCGCATTCTCGAATCTGATGAATCGAAATCTGCAAAAAGTGATCATTCAACGATCACTTCAACAATCTATATTCATTCTTTTCAAAACAAACCTAGTCTCGTCATCATCTGCACCGAGTCTCCTCGAAAGTACTCTGAAACCACCGCACAGTTTTATATTTTTACCGTGTCTATCCACGAAACGAGCGCATACTTTACCGAAATCCGTGTACGCTTGACCGAATGCCTCATAAAAGCCATCTTGTTGATCGTAATCCACGCTGTTTCGTTGAAATCATCATTAAACACAATAACAACATATTATTAATATAATCATATCATTAATAAATATTCCAATAAAGATGCCTACAAGAAAGCGATATAGGCGTTCTGTGCGCGTTGTCCATTATGGGTTGCATCAAACTCCAAGAAGTCATCAACCGTTCTATTACCGTGAATTTTGCCGTTCTTATCAATTATTGCCCAGTACTCTTCACCTAACTGAAATTATCATACAGTTACAGTGATAACAACAAACAAATGCAATAATATTTATCAACGTACATAAATCGTTGAGCATTGAGCAATCAAACCTGCCAACAGCACGATCCTATAAATAGTGGTATCGCTCATTTTTGTGAATTCCACCTGAAACTGAATTCAGGTCATTTGCAAATTGCAATAATCACGAACTCGCTTGGCGGTTTCACGCATTTCATAGATGATCTTAAAGGATCGTTACGATGAAATTCATCAAGATATCATCCCAGAAATACTGTGCAGTGTTTAGAATCAATAACATCGTTTGGTCGATAGTAGAATACGGTCTCATTTTTTCATATACAATTAGAATCACTTATACAATCGCTTTTTCATTGTATTTTTCATGTTAGATGGTCAATTTACGAGTGTTTTTTTTTCAGTTTACGATTGTTCGTTGTTTTTGTTGTTAACAATATATAAAATTTCGGTTCATTCGATTTGAGGACAATTGCGGTTCGATAAAAAGGGCTGATTCGAGCGAGATTGAATGCGATCGTCACCGACAAATGCAAATATTTAACATTAAATTTTATCACCGACGACGGTAAACTCTCGTGACGCTAATTGATAAAATTAACGATGGAAAAAGTGTCAGCAGTGAGCGATTGATGCAATTAAATCTTGAACAGAACATCTTCTGTGAACACTTCACAGAAGTTTTAGTGGAATAATCATTGTAAAATTCAGCGAAAATTATTCGATTGAGAGTGAAAGAACAAAAGAATGTAATAAATATCAAGACGGCTGTTTAAAATAATAACTCTGAAATATGCAACAAACAAACATTTTATTATCAGTGCACACGACTGATAACGTTTCATTGCAGCAGCAATCAGTAAATATCATCCTTTCGATCACCGAGTGCTGACTGATCAGCTCCTTATTCATCAGGCCGGCCTAGCACTAACCTTAGCCTGAGTCTGAAGGTAAACTGTCTCGATGAGACACACGATACACTACAATCTGCAATCTGTCTGGCCGGGCGCATTGTGGTGTGGTTTGACTACATGATAAGCCTTCGTGCGCTCGAGTAAGGTTCCATATCAAAATGTTACTTTTGCACTGCATAAAAAACGTCATATCTGTGACATTTTTACGTTGCGGCATTCTGAGTCGTTCATTCCGTTGTACGGTCGGTCATTTTGCAGTAAATAATACAACGACTAACATTCTCATCTCAACAATTCATTCAGTGCTCATTGAAAAACTTATTATTATCATTATTATAAATAATAATAATAATTATTATTATTATTGTTATTATTATTATTATTATTATTGATATTAATATTATCAATATTATTATTATGTTGTTGCTGTTTTTATATACAAATAACAATGATCTGGATTGTAATTGATAACGAAAACGCTTCGAAAAAGTACGTCTATACAAGAATGCGTATCAATTTCAGCCATCGCTTAATTCCATCAGCAAATACCCACAACACCACTTTACAAATAGCAATGATAATAAGTTGCATTCAGTCAAATACTTGCAATATTCATATCCCGAAATGCAAATGCAACCAAATCAAGCAGCTCCTCATCACTACGATACAATAAATGAACAAGGTAATAATGAATCAAGAAGGCAATCAGTCTTGAGACGCCATGCTAAATGTGCATAAATAATCATCGTACACAAACAACTCCGAATTAATGCACAAATCAAATGCTGCTGCTGCTGCAATGAGATGTCTACGCAAGCAACACCAACATACTATAGTACCATTTTACGATTTCCCAATTCAACTATATCTCAGATCAGTTTCAATGATAAGCAACAACATACACAAATACGCAAATCCAAAACAACTGATGAATAAATAAGCGAACAAGAATTCGTTGCCAGAACGCTTGCAAAATGATTATCTTCAGTAAATTCTTTACGTTTAAACTAAGGATGCACATGGACACATAAATAAATAACAGACTGCATGATAATTTTATTATAAAAAAACACAAATAAAAACACGATCAAAATATCGTTGATCATCGCGTCAGTGGTTTATCTGATCTGATCGGATCAAATAATCGCATTCATTCATCATATCTATCGTTCGAATTCAACCATATCAAAATCCATCGATTAAATGCAACCAATTCAATTTTATAACATCCACGAATAGTAACGAATCATTAATAATACAAACAGCAATAATGAATTAATTCTTCAAAGAATACAACACACCAATATTTCACTATATTTTGACTAGCAGTGATTCAATGTTCATCATATCGTTTCATTATTTATCCTACAATTCAAAATGATTCAACGTTAATGTTTCTAACATGTATAGTCCCCTCCGGTTCAATCCCCAACTTCCAATCCCAACCCCTCCCCCGGTCATCGAATCAACAATCGACCGATAAGTTTCTTGAGATATCTAAATATACGGTATAATATTTCTTTTTTTAATCATCATTTCTTATTTACGAATACTTTGCACATGTGCATATAAATGCTATTTGATGAATTCCGCTTCTAACAACAAAATCACTTGTGAATATATCCGTTGAATGTCGATTGACTGGTTTGCTTTTTGATCTCTTTCTCAGGCAGAAACGACGATTGAGGAATGCATCGTAAGCTTCGGCTTTATTTGTATTTCTAAGATGTACAATTGATAACTTTGATTTTACAAATGAATGTTCAGCAATAAAATAACAAGTGAATGTGCTATTTACAAAATTCCAAGTAAATAAAACAAAAAAAAACAAGTCGTCATCTCTGCAGAAAGCTCTCTGATTCCTCTCGTTCACCATAAATTTCTTTATTATCGTTATCATAATGATTACCACCATTAAAATTCATACATTTATGAGTATTTTGTGTTTTCAGCATTGTAACTGCATCCTGAAAAGATGTTGATAAATTGATTCATTGATTTTGATTCATAACTTCCTGATCAATTGGTGTGTCTGTCCCTTTATTACTATAAAGCATTCATAAGCATCTTATCTATCTTTTTATATTTCTTACAAACACATTGAGAAGATGTATGTTTTTGGACAACTTCCTTCCTTCCTGTCTTCATATATAGCGATTTCAGATTCAGCTGCTCCAATCACTTCAAGCAAGCTGTGCGTGATAACGAAGGAGTACCTACCCAAATGGTTTCCGGCAGAGGAATGTCTTGTGTTTCCGGTAAGAACATCACCAATGAACCGGCAACCAATGAAAATATTGAGAATATCAGCATTGGCACAATTGGTAGAGTCACATCTGATAGTATCGCTATGTAACCGGATGCTGCTGATCCCATTCGCGATACCTGAACAAAGTAGCGCTCTTTTTCTCAGTGACTCTTCAAGCACGAAAGGCGTTTTTAAAGCGGAATGCGGAAATCAGATAATCGTTTAAATGCGTAAATCAACGGAATAATGAATCGGCCAGAAAGAAACACACCATCGAGCACACTCCAACAGCACTGTTGCGAATGATGGTCGGGTACAACTCAGAGGTGAATATGTAGAGAATGTTGAACGCACCCTGGATGCACACCTTGCCAGCCAGCATGAACATCAGCGCCAACTTAATTCTATCATTCATTATCTATCAACTCAACTGACCATTCAAACCACTCACAGTGGTGTGCTGTTGAGTGCTGACCATTATCGCGATTCCAATCAAAATCCCTCCAGCGATCAGCGTTATCGTTTGCGATCTGATTATCATCATATCATCATCACTACTCATTATCAGCTTTACCACAGTTTCAATAACAAATTTCCTACCGTTTCCTACCAAACCTCAACAGATAAACACATCCCATCAAAGTCGGTAGCTCAATCGCACCCGCAATTGCGTTATTCAAGAAGAAATGGCCGACGAACATCGTTCTGCCGGGGGAAGACTGCAATTAATGTTGTGTTCAATAGAAACTACAGTAACTGATAGATAATGATAGATAATCACCTGATCAGAGAGAGCAATCACCAACCCATAATAAACGAGTGCAATTGCAATCCAAATAACAAAAAGACAAATCGATCTGATTCTCAGATCACTCGATATGAATAACAATAAAAAGTGCGGTCGTTGTTTACTCCTCAACCACTTTCGTTTTTCCGCATGTCTAACCTTAAATCTAATTCATTAGTATAAGTAATCATACTAAACANGGTAGAAAGTTTATTAATATCATTGCGAATGTGTGCATTAGTACCGTTATTATCTGAAGTTTTCAATCGCCTTTACTCTCGCCAGATATATGTGTATATCAAAATGCCTTTTATGCACAAGTTAAGCTGTACTATAAATATGCCTCACCTGAATTGTATACCAAGATTTGCTGAGGTATGCAACTAGCGCTAGGAATGCGTAGCCACATGCCCACGGCGCTTGCAATAAACTACCGATGATCGATCTATATTTCACACCTACAACATTCATATCAAAACCGAACCGAATCAGCTCAATAAAGCTTACCAGTAACTTCCATGCATAACACATAAGCAGCCAGATCAGCAGCCTCATTACAAACCGCACCCAGGAAACGAATCACCAGAAACACTTCAAACTCTTTCGTGAACGGTAACAAAAAACCAAATATCGACGACAATATACCAAATGCACAGATAGCCGTCTTTCGTCCATATCTCGAATTATAATTTCCTTGAATATAAGCCTCGTGCCTCCTCTCGGATAAATTCCTTCCTCCTCTTCAATAGCTCTGTGACAATTAAGCGAACCGATACCTACCTATCAGAAACGAAACCACCCAGCATACAGCCAGCAATATATCCCAATGAATAGGATAAATGAACATGCGCTCTACTCCAGTTCTCATCACAGACTCGGTGCCACTGGGTCACTACAGTCTCTTTCATTACCTGAAACTGATCATCTTATGAGTGATCATTGCAACATTGCAATGTTTCTGATC